AGGCTGATTCTTCTTAGAAAAGATAAGAGAAAAGACATTTTTAGAGGAAGGGACTAGATTTGAACAATACTTGTATGATAAATGGCCTGTAACTAAGGATCCAGTGAGAGCTTATGTCCTATACAAACTGAAACTCTTGGGATGTCAGCACGACAAACCTTAAGTAGATTCATGCCGGGGACCAATGAGCCTCAAGGGCAAAGGAAATGGACTGTGAATTCTGAGGATGAGCACTAAGCTCAGACTCTTTAGGACCTCAGAGGTAAACGAAGTTTCCCTCTTTACACCTATATATACCCCCCCCACTAGAATAGGGCAATTTACATAATAGAGCAACGTCTCCGTCTCCTTCAGTTAGGAGCAGAAGAACTGAGGCAAGAGGTGATTTCCTTAAACACAGAAAGTCAAAGGTAGGTGCCAAGTTGGCCTTATTGCAACCAGCTCTATAAACGAAGAGGGGAAGGACTGTGTATCACAGCACAAGTAATAGTCACAACAGGAATAAGGGACACAAACCACCCACAGGCACATAATATCAGTGCTCTGAAACTGGCAGCCTACCTTAAAAGGGGTTTGCTGTCTTTCATGTCAGAGGTAGGTGTTCTATACGGGGAAAAGAAACTGACCACATGGTAGAAGATAATGGGCATTTCCAGTGGAATGGGTAGAAGATGAGTCTGCAGAGACTCTGTACATCAAGGACCCCATCCTCTGGCCAGTGGGATGATGGACAAGAGCCATCTTGACAGTAGCATATAGTGTACTACTTCTCACAAGTGCTATGTCACAGTAGGTTTGCCCTAAACTCTCTGAGGGCATTAGAGATGGCTGTGGAGTTGGCAGCTATTTGGGACCAAGCTAAGTAGTCAAGGAGTTTTGACTTTTTTTTAGGAAAGCTGAATTATGGTGAGGCCTGGACAAGCATCCTTTCAAACAGTGCTACTAGGACTCATTTTACTTATAATGCTCTTATATTGCAATAAACCCATATAAGATTTAAAAATACTGTTAGTCAAAAATTCGTCTAACCTGCTTAAGTTGTCAAGCATGTTTTAGTCACACACTACACTCTAGAGGGACAGTTAGCTGTTTCCCTTCATCATCAAGAATCTGGTGGCTGGGGACTGTAGCAACCCACTATCCCTACATATAAGAGGTTTCCTTACTATGTATCAGTGGACTAGAAAAAGGTAAAAACTCCAACTATGGTTTCTCCAGAATGAAGATCACTTTTGAACAATCCATAAATGAAGAACATATTAAATCAAACAACTGTAAGTAAAAACTGTTTGCATTCTGTTGTCACCCCTTAATATATTGTTAGACACCTTTACAGTGGTCTCTCTATGGAGACATAGCCTAAAACTCACTATGTAGTCTTAGGATGGCCTCAAACTTAGAGCAATCCTCCTGCCTCTGGCTCCTGAGGTCTGAGGTTACAGGTGGGCCCCACATCTCCTGGCTCTGCTATACACTTCTATGCAAAAATATTGGAAAGATAAAACAATATCATTTCTAGGAAGTAAAATTTGCCAATATGAAACTCATGAATGTTAAATACATTTTTACTTCTTGCCCAGTAATTTCAACTTTAGAAACCCACCTTCAAGGAAATAATATTGAATGCAGCATCTAGGCATAAAGATGCTTCTTATTGTATTACTTATAAACATAAAAAAGTGTCCATCAGTCTAAATGCACTATATCAGGAGTTTGAAACAGAAAATCTATAGTATGTTTGCAGTGGAACTATTAAAGTTATGAGTATAAACGGACTTTTGTGTTATTGGGATACACCCTTATATAACTTTTAAGAAAAAAAGCAAGCTAGTAAATTTTACTGTTCAACGGAAATTCTCAGCTGTATAAAGGTGTGCATATTATGCATGGAAATGGGAAATCAATGAAAAATTATCTCTGTGTGATATGATTATGGTTGAATTTTATTTCATTTTCTTTACTTTTTAATATTACAATTTATTGAAGTTCCTATAATGAGCAAGTGATTAATCTATAATCTAAAAATCAAATCTTGCATGTGGATTATCTGTCTTTATAAACACTGGTGCATACACCCCTGCTTCCTTGAAGGAGCTCAGGCTTTGAGTGAGGATGTCCTCATGTGTGACAAGCTCACTATTCCGTGTGTTTGTGTGTGTGTGTGTGTGATGTGTGCGATGTGTGCTCACCTGCATACAAATGTGCCTGTAGAGTCCAGAAGCTGATGTCTTCCTGCATTGCTTTCCATAATATTTTTAAGGTGACTCTCTCATTGAACCAATTTGTCAAGACTAGCCAGTCAGTGCACTCCAGGATCCTCCTGCCTCTACCTGTCCAGTACTAGGATTGTAGGTTTGCACCCACCACCCAGATTTGATTTTATTTTACATGGCTTGTTAAGTTTGTTATTGTATTTATTATTACCTTACCATTTATTTTATTTTTATTTACATGGTTTGCTCATCGTATTTTGCATGGATACTGGGGATCCAAATTACAAGATCAGTGGTCTTATGGCTGTCCTTTTCTGACTTGAAGAATAATCATAATTAGTTTGTTCTAACCTTTGTATTTCTTTTCTTTACTTTTAAGAAAGTCTACCCCAAATATACAGCGCACGCGCGCACACACACACACACACACACACACTTGCACGCACGCACGCACGCACGCAGGCACACATGCACGCATGCACACCCCTCTACTTACAGTGGCCTGAGTCCATTTCAGTTTCTCCTTTTCTCTCCCTCATTTTTTACTACCCTCACTATCAGTTTCCACTGGGGACTGGATGTCCATGCCTTGAAGAGAGAAGTGAATAGGATGGCGGTGGAGGAGGGGACAGGGAGGCTGGCAGATTTCTTGGCAGGAGCAGAGCAGTGAGCTGAGCTGCTGATGGGGTTCAGGGAAGCTGGAAGCCAGCCTGGGAGGCAGGTTGAAATCGCATGGATAAGAGGAGACTGGCCATTTGGAGCCCCAGTCGGCTACTCAGCAGGGAAAGCCAACATTCCAGAGAAGGCCGCCTGCAAGGAAGGCCCAGGGCCAAGGCACAGAGGGACAGCCTGCTTGCCTGTCTTCACGCCAGCACACAGGAGCAGCACGGGTTGTTCTCTTTGTCTGACTGTGGGTTGAAGGATCCATTTCCCCTCCCATATCCTGACTTTGGGTAACACGGAGGACACTGATTCCAATACCTCAGGATTCTGCCCTTACGTAAGGAAGACAGGCTGTGTGACAAGATTCCCAGTGACAGGCGCTGTGGAGTGCTGGGGATCATGGCTGGCTGACGTGGCCGACACACTGGTGTGCCAGCACTTTTGCCCCGCAGGTGTGAGGCTAAGGGTGGCAAGTCTTCCAGTTTTTCCAAAGAAGCCAAAAATCTAGAGGCATTCTGAATTCTGAGGAGAGAAAAGGAATCGGGGGGGGGGTTCTAAAGAAAGGGGGGACTTTTGGTTTTTAAAGCACTGGCTTGTTTAAAAAAATTACTAAAGTAAAACTCAGTGTGTGCCAAATGTAATGTCTGCTGACTGGACTTAATTTGTGAACCAATGGTTTCAGATGATTTGAAATAAAACCATATAAGACTGCTTTTCCTGAAGTCTCCCTATGGCTATACCAAATCCAATGTCTCCCGGAGAGATACATATTCATTATCTATTACATGTACAACATTCCTGGAGACACCATAAGGAGTCTATGAAAATCACTAAGTAATTTGCAGCCTTCTATGAATTTAGAATTTTGCTGAACCAGTTTACTTCCACTCGGGGAAGTTAGGTAATTGAGCAATGTATAATTTGTTATCAAAGCAGCAGATCTGATCAGATATGCCAAAACCACCTGAAACAGAAAGAGGCGGGTAGATGGGAAGATGGATCACTCAGCAAAGTGGCTGCCACGCAATCAAGAGGATGTGAGTTCAGACGCCCACATCCATATAAAGTGTGTAGCATGACAGCTTGTGCCTATAACCCCAGTACAGAGGGTTGGAGACAAGAAGGATTCCCAAAACTCATTTGGCTAGCTAGCCTAACCGAACTGATGAACTTCCAGATCAGTTAGTGATCTCAACTAAAAAATAAATAAATAAAGGTGGAGAGTGGTTGAGAAAGACACTTGGTATCAACCCTGGACTTCCAGAAGTACATGCATATATGTATGTACATAATGTACTCATACACTACTAATAGACGCAACATACACACACACACATCATACACAAAACACAACACAAAAAATAATCAAAATCTGGAATTCTGTAATCTCTGCAAAAGAGAGGGGAGGGGGCTTGTATCTGTTACCTCACTGTTGGAGAGGCAGAAACATGGATTCCACTGTTTGCTAATGAACCAGTCTAGCCTAGCACCCAGATTTGAGACAGACCCTGCCTCAAAAGACAAAGTAAAGAGAAGTAGAGGAAGACACTGGATACATACAAGCGAATGCACACACATGGACTAAGTTCCATGGGCTTTTAGGTCTACAACAAAAGTCGTGTAATAAAATCAGTGGTGAAGGAAATACCATGGGTGCTGCTCACCCTTATATCCTCTATCCTCAATACTTGGCACCTTGAAATGATTCTCGACAAGTATTCCTTTAATAAAAGGATAAAATTAATTAGTCTGGGAAGGGAAGAAGCCAGTCTTGTGGACTGAGACAGTGAGGAATTAGGCAAATATTTTCATTATAGACATGATGATATTCAACAAAGAGACAATGAGTTCAAGGTTCTGAGAATTTGGTCACTAGGTCCCCATTGTTGCTAAGGAATGGGGGTGTGCAAACAGTTCTCACTGTAACCCATATTATAGTTGACAAGCTATTTACCATCTCTGCTGAAATGTCTGCTGAACTTCCTAATGACCAATTAAGCTTCCTTGACATTTTGATGCAGGAGAAAAGGGACCCAGACACTATGTTCATGTAACAGCCTATCTCATAATGAGCTTGCTGATTCCCTCATCAGTGCTTTGGTTGTTTGGTGATTGGCCCACTGTCTCCCTGGGCCAGGCACCACTCTTTCAGTTCCTCCATGGGTTCTGACTCTTTGTCACCATAGACTGAAAAACTGAAAGGATTGGGACAGGTAGGACACACAGCTGTAGAGCCGAGAAGAGGGCAATCTTGTTTGGTATGCCAAGTGAACCTCAGCAAATAAAGGAATCATAGCTAGAGATGCTGGTACATGCATGGAATTTCAGCATTTGGGAGATAGAGGCAACGGGATATCCAGCTCAAGATCAGTCCAGGCTAAGTGAAGAAAACCCTGTCACGAAAGAACAAGGGCACAAGGTGTAACTCATGGAGACTGCCTACTATATGCAAGGCTCCTCAGAATGAATGACTCTCTCTCTCTCTCTCTCTCTCTCTCTCTCTCTCTCTCTCTCTCTCTCTCTCTCTCTCTCTCTCTCTCTCACACACACACACACACACACACACACACACACACACACGGAGAGAGAGATGATAAGAGGCTACTGATAAAATCTCTGCACTATCAGAAAGTTTGTTTTGAAGGGAAGTTAAAGTTTGTTGGGTGAAACTAAAAGCCTGACTGAAGAATTTAGACTTTATTTGACATCTGAGGGGGGAGAAACTCTAGTTCCCTATGGACTTAGATCATTTGATATGAAGAAGAAGGGCTTCTTTGTAATCTCATTATTGTTCAGAATTAACAAATCAATACTGGAGGACTTTGTGGGAGACAAGCAGGACCCTCCCAAAGATGTGAGCTGACTGCAATTGTCCTGAACTGGATCTCTAAGAGACAGTTGTGCAGTTTGAGAGCACAATGGCCCTCAATTAGCAGAACAAGCTCACACATGAAGACCACATTATGAGAAATGTCTCAGTTAAATAAGATCCCATCATTATTAATGGCCATCTCTGATGACCCTAGTAACCAGAGGCTGAGGATTCCGTTTTCCAACACAGGTATTTACAATCCCCAAGAAGGCCCAGCATGCTAAGATACAAGTTGTAACCACGTGATGCTCCAAAATTAAAAAAGTAAGGGAAAACTCCTGGTTGTGACAGCTGGGCATCCTGGTCACAGTTCCACAAAGAATTCTGGATGATCAGCGTAGACGGGTGTTCATAGGATCCCTCAGACAGTCTAGGGGAATCAGTAGATGTCACAGATGCCTTGAACTGGAGTTTCCAATGTGCAGTGAGCCCTGAACCCATTCTTTAAAGGAAGATGTGTCTACAATTCTAGTTCATGAAGCAGACGAAAGTGTAGAGGCTCTGCCTCATGTATGAGAGACTTCTGATAGACTTGAAAAAGTTTAGTTTAAGGGGGAGCACAAGATTCAGTGATTTCAAATTATTTTTTTATTACAAAGGGGGAAATAGTAACTTTTCAATGAACAATCTGGTACACACCACCTTGATTAACCAATAACAGTAGGACATCAGCTGTGCAGAGAGCCAGGGGCATCATAGCCTTGAGCAAATGGTGCTCCCAGACAAATCCATATCTCAAACCTAATTATGAGGAATCATTACATACATCTCCTAAACAGAAGAGGTTTTGCTAAATAACTGGCATATAGGTTTTATAGGTTTTTAAAAAAACCATTTGTTTTATTTATTTATTTAAATTAGAAACAAGCATGCTTCACATGTCAAATCCCAGTTCCCTCACCCTCCCCTCCTCGCCCACCCTCCCAAACCCCCAAACCTAACCCAATCCCACTCTACTCCCCAAGGTGGGTGAGGCCCTCCATGGGGGTCTCCAGAGTCTGTCATTTCATTCAAGATAGGTCCTATGCCCTCCCCCATGTGTCCAGACTGAGAGACCATCTCTCAATGTGGGATGGACTCCCAAAGTCCATTTGTATGGCAGAGATAAATACTTATCTACTACCCAAGGCCCCATTGATTGCCTAGGCCTCCTCACTGATACCCAAATTTAGGGGGTCTGGATCAGTCCCATGCTGGCCTCTCAGCCATCAGTCTGGGGTCCAAAAGCTCCCCCTTGTTCAGGTCAGCTGCCTCTGTGGGTTTCACCAGTCTGGTCTTGACCCCCTTGCTCATCACTCCTCCCACTCTGCAACTGAGTTCCAGGAGTTCAGTTGAGTGTTTAGCTGTGGGTGTCTGCCTCTGCTTCCATCAGCCACTGGATGAAGGCTCTAGGATGGTATGTAAGGTAGTCATCAAACTATTATCAAGGAGGGGCATTTAAGGTAGTCCCTTCACTATTGCTTAGTTTGCCAATTAGTGTCATTCTTATAGATCTCTGGAAATATCCCTTGTGCCAGATCTTTCCTCAAACCTATAATGACTCCTTCTGTTATGTGTCTCTCATCCTGCTCTCCTCTGTACATCCTCTGACTCAACCTTCCTGCTCCCCCATGTCCAACTCTCTCCTCCTTTTCTCCCCTCTCTTTTTTCCAGTTCCCTCCCCACCCCATGCTCTCAATCCACTCAGGAGATCCTGTTCCATTCCCCTTCTCTGGAGTACCATGCATATCTCTCTTAGGATACTCCCTTCTTCCCATACTATCTGGCAATGGGATTGGAGGCTGGCACTCCCCTGATCCATGTCTAAAATCCACATATGAGTGAGTACATACCATCTTTGTCTTTTTGTGACTGGGTTACCTCACTCAGGATGGTTTCTTCTAGTGCCATCCATTTGCCTGCAAATTTCAAGATTCCATTGTTTTTTTTTTTCTGCTGAGTAGTACTCCATTGTGTAAATGTACCACATTTTCTCTCTCCACTCTTCAGTTGAGGGGCATATGAACTATTACAGGTTCTGGCTATTGCAAATAAGCCTGCTGTGTCCTTATTGCGTGAATGTGCATCTTTTGGGTATATGCCTAAGAGTGGAATTGCTGGATCTTGTGGTAGACTGATTCCCGTTTTCCCGAGGAATCTCCATACTGATTTCCAAAGTGACTGTATGAGGTGGCACTTCCACCAGCAGTGGAGGAGTGTTCCCCTCTCTCCACATCCTTTCCAACGTAAACTGTCGGTGTTTTTTATTTTAGCCATTCTGACAGGAGTGAGTTGGTATCTCAGAGTTGTTTTGAGTTGCATTTCCCTGATGGGCAAGGATGTTGAACACTTTCTAAAGTCTCTCAGTCATTTTAGACTCCTCTGTTGAGAATTCTCTATTTAGTTCTATACCCAGTTTTAAGTTGGATCCTTTGGTGTTTTGGTGACTTGCTTCTTGAGTTCTTTGTAAATTTTGGAGATCAGCCCTCTGTCAAATGTAGGGTTAGTGAACATCTTTTCCCATTCTGTGGACTGCCTTTTTGTCTTGTTGACTGTGTTCTTTGCCTTACAGAAGCTTCTCAGTTTCAGGAGATCCCATTTATTAATTGTCAATCTCAGTGTCTGTGCTACTGGTGTTATGTTCAGGAAGCAGCCTCCTGTACCAAGTTTTCAAGGGTATCCCCCACTTTCTCTTCTAAAAGGTTCAGTGTAACTGGATTTATATTTTGGTCTTTGATCCATTTGGACATGGATCTATCTGCAGTTAATATCCAGTTATGCCAGCACCATTTGTTGAAGAGGCTTTCTTTTTTTTCATTGTATAATGTTAGCTTCTTTGTCAAAAATCAGGTGTTCATAGGTGTGTGGGTTAATATTAGGGTGTTCAATTCAATTCCATTGGTCTACATGTCTTTTTATGTGCCAATCCCAAGCTGTTTTCAGGACTATAGTTCTATAATAGAGCTTGAAGTCAGGGACGGTGATGCCTCCGGACCTTGCATTGTTGAATAGTGTTGTTTTGGCTATTCAGGGTCTTTTGTTTTTCCAAATAAAGTTGAAAATTATTCTTTCAAGGTCTGTGAAGAATTGTGCTGGGATTTTGATGGGGATTGCATTGAATCAGTAGATTGCTTTTGGCAAGATTGCCATTTTTACTAAGTTGATCCTACCTATCCAAGAGCATGGGAGATCTTTCCATATTTTTGTATCTTCTTTAATTTCTTTCTTTAAAAACTCAAAGTTCTGGAGATATAGGTCTTTAACTTGTGTGGTTAGCGTTACTCCAAGTTATTTTATGCTGTTGGTGGCAATTATAAAGGGTGATGTTTCTCTTATTTCTTTCTCAACCCTTTTATCATGTGTATATAGTAGAGCTGCTGATTTTTTTTAGTTCATCTTATATCCTACCACTTTGGTAAGGGTGTTTATCAGCTGTAGAAGTTCCCTGGTAGAGTTTTTCAGGTAACTTATGTAAACTATCATATCATCTGCAAATGGTAAAAGTTTGACTTCTTCTTTTCTAATTTGTATCCCCTTGATCTCTTTTTATTGTCTTATTGCTCTAATTAGAACTTCCAGTAAAATGTTGAAGAGGTATGGGGAGAGGGGACAGCCTTGTCTTGTTCCTGATTTTAGAGGAATTGCATTGAGTTTCTCTCCATTTAGTTTGATGTTGTCTGTTGGTTTGCTGTATATAGCTTTTATTATATTTAGGTATGTTCCTATTATCCTTGATCTTTCCAAGACCTTTATCATGAAGGGGTGTTCAATTTTGTCAAAGGCTTTATCAGTATCTACTGAGATGATCATGTGATTTTTTTCTCAGCTTGTATATACGGTGGATTACACTTATGGATTTTCATATATTGAACCTTCCCTGCATCCCTGGGATGATGCCTACTTCATCATGGAGGATGATTTTTCTGATGTGTTCTTGGATTTGATTTGCCAGTATTTTATTAAGTATTTTTGCATCAATGTTCACTAGTGATATTGGTCTGAATTTCTCTTTCTTAGTTGTGTCTTTGTGTGACTTGGGTATCAAGATTATTGAAGTCTCATAAAAAGAGTTTCACAATAATCCTTCTGCTTCTTTTAGTGGAATACTTTGAGGAGAATTGGTATTAGGTATTTGAATTTCTGGTAGACTTCTGCACTGAGGTCATCAGGCCCTGGACTTTTTTTTCTTTTTGGTTGGGAGACTTTTGATGACTGCTTCTATTTCATTAGGGGTTATAGGTCTATTGAAATTGCTTATCTTATCTATTCTTGATTTAATTTTGGCTAAGTGATATCTATCCAGAAAAATTGTCCATTTCCTTTAAATTTTCGAATTTTGTGGTGTACACGTTTTCAAAGTATGACCTGATGATTCTCTGGATTTCCTCAGTGTCCGTTGTTATGTTTCCCTTTTTGTTTCTGATTTTGTTAATTTGCATGTTCACACTCTGCTGTTTGATAAGTTTGGTTAAAGGTTTGTTTATCTTGCTGATTTTCTCAAAGAACCAAGTCTTTGTTACATTGATTCTTTGTATTGTATTTTCCTAGTTTCTACTTTATTGATTTCAGTCCTCAATTTGATTATTTCCTGGCATCTACTCCTCCAGGGTGAGTTTGCTTCCTTTTGTTCTAGAGCTTTCAGTTGTGCTGTTAACTCTCTAGTGTGAGTTTCTTCATGTGGGCACTTAGTGCTACGACGAACTTTCCTCTTAGCATTGCTTTCAACGTGTTCCATAAGTTTGGGTATGTTGTGTCTTCATTCTCATTGACTTCTAGGAAGTCTTTAATTTCTTTTTTTATTTCTTCTTTGACCCAGGAATGGTGCAATTTTCACTTTCCGTGAGTTTGTAAGTTTTCTGCAATTTGTGTTGTTGTTGAATTCTAATTTTAACTCATGGTGGTCTGATAAGATACATGGAATTATTGTACTTGTTGATGTTTGTTATGTTGCCAAGTATGTGGTCGATTTTTAAGAAGGTTCCATGTAGTGCTGAGAAGAAGGTATATTCTTTTGTGTTTGGATGGATTATTCTATAGATGTCTGTTAAACCCAATTGGGTCATAACTTGTATTACTTCCTTGGTTTCTTTGTTAAGTTTCCGTCTGGTAGTTCTGTCTAGTGGTGACAGTAGGGTGTTGAAGTCTCCCAGTATAAGTGTGTGAGGTTTTATGTGTGACTTGAGTTTTAGTAATGTTTCTTTTACGAACATGGATGCCTTTTTAACTGGGGCATAGATGTTCAGAATTGAGACTTCATCTTGGTAGGTTTCTCCTGTGATGAGTATGAAATTACCTCCTTTGTTACGATAAACAACACACTTGATGAGGGTATAGGTAACTATTTATTGTAGAAATTACTTACAAGAGAAAACCGGCAACCAAGGTGAGTCAGCAGCTTTTGCTACAGGACCAGAAGCCCAAAGGAAGCATGCCTCTCTCCTTCACTGCCTTTGATTACCACCTCTGTATGAGCCTCTAGCCACACCCAAAGTGGACATTGTTAGTGGAGCAGTCCTAATGTCTCTTCCTATACTCCTTCATCTCTTTTTTATTGATTTTAGTTTGAAGTCTAATTTGTTAGATATTAGGATTGCTATGCCAGTTTGTTTCTTGGTTCTTGGTTCCATTTGATTGGAAAAATCTTTTCCCAACCCTTAACTCTGAGGTAAAGTCTGTCTTTGAAGCTGAGGTATGTTTCTTGTATGCAACAGAAGGATGGATTCTGTCTTCAAATCCATTCTGTTAGTGTGTGTCTTTTTATGGGAAAGTTAAGACTATTAATATTGAGGTATATTAATGACCATTTACCTGCTCATTCTTGTTTGTTTTGGAATTGGTGACAGTGTGTGTGGATTTCCACTCCTTTTTCCATTTGGCTGTTGGTAAAGTGGAATTACCTATTGCCTATGTTTCTCTGGTTGTAGTTAACTTCCTTGGGTTGGAGTTTTCCTTTCACAACTTTCTGTAGGGCTGGGTTAGTGGACATGTATTGTTTAAATCTGGTTTTATCATGGAATATCTTTTCTCCATCTATAGTGACTGAAAGCTTTACTAGGTATAATAGTCTGGGCTGGCATCCATGGTCTCTTAGTGTTGGTAGAATGTCTATCCAGGACCTTCTGGCTTTCAGAGTTTCCATGGAGAAGTCAGGTGTAATTCTAATAGGTTTGTCTTTATATGTTACTTGACCTTTTTCCTTAGCTGCTCTTAATATTCTTTCTTTATTCTGTATTTTTGGGGTCTTGATTATTATGTGGTGAGGGTACTTTTTGTGGTTCACTCTATTTGGTGTTCTGTAGGCTTCTTGTACTTTCATTGGCATATCTTTCTTTAGGTTGGGAAAATTTTCTTCTATGATTTTATTGAATATGTTTTCTGCCCCTTTGAGGTGGGTTTCTTCACCTTCTTCTATACCTATTATTCTTAGGTTTGGTCTTTTCACGGTGTCCCATATTTCCTTGATATTTTGTGTTAGGGATTTGTTGGACTTAAGATTTTCTTTTGTCATTGAATCTATTTTTCCTATTTCATTTTCAATGCCTGATGCTCTTCCATCTCTTGTATTTTGTTGGTTATCCTTGCATCTATAGTACCTGAACATTTACCCAGCTTTTCAATTTCTAGCCTTCCCTTAGACTGTGTTTTTTTTGCCTCTATTTCAGCTTTCAACCCTTGCACTGTTTGAATTGTGTCTTGCAACTTTTGCTCTGTCTTTTCCATTTCCTGAATTTTTGCTTTTCTTCCATGTCTTTAAGGGATTTTCTAATATCTTCTTTGAGAGCCTCTATCATTTTCATGAACTTGATTTTAAGGTCATTCTCTTCTGCTTCATCTGCATTGGGATGTTTGTGTCTTACTGGTGTGAGTCTCTAGACTCTGGCGGATGTCATATTGGTTTTTCTGTTGCAGAATGTGTTTTTATATTGTCTCTTTCCCATACCTTCTTCCAGTGGGTGCAGAATGAGTCTCTTCCTCTCCTGGTGGGTAACAGACCAGGGTTCCCTTCTGATAGGTGCAAGCATGTCCAATAATCTGGTGGCTCTCCTCTTCCCATGGGCAAAGGCAGTCTCAAGGTGGAACCTGTCAGGATGTGATCTGCAGTGAGCAGTGTCTAGGTCTCAGCTGGTGGCATTCAGGGCACAGGAAGAAGGGCTAGCAACAGACCCAGGCTTACTTAGTCCCATAGGCTGAGAATGGGACTAGGATGCTGGCAGTCTTTCGGTGGGTTGGCTCCTACCAGGATAGGAATCACAGTGGCAGTCCCCAAGCACAGGAAGGCCCATTCTTTTATTTTTTGAGATTATATTAACGTCATTTCCCTCTCCCTTCCCTCCCTCCAAGCCTTCCCATATATCTTTTCTTGTTCTCTTTCAAATTCATAGCCTCCTTTTTCTTTTGTTGTTGTTACATACATATAGGTGTGGAAGTTAAAAAAGACACAAATACATGGCTAAATAATATTTACTGTAGCAGAAACTGAAGACCCATGGAAACTAAATGTAATGTATTGTGTATCCTAAAATGTGTCTGTATTTGGGGGAAATGTCAACAAAGGGTATCAGCTGTAAGAATTAATAAAACAAAGAACAAGGATGATGGTTTATCCAGGCCTGGAAACAATTGAGTAGAGGATAAATGTACTGCAGAATTTTTTATGAGATTTGTTTGAAGGGATTGTAAAATAAAAGAAACAAAACCTAATAAAATCTAACAGTAAACTGATAAGCCCATCTAAGTCTAAAATAGTTATTATCCCATCCATTTTAGTGAGTTCTGAACTAAGCCACTAGTAAAAGTCAAGGTGTATTTTGTTTTAACTCTTTGATCCACAAAGACAGACAGGCTTTTCTCTCTACTTTCCATAGTTAACACACCTCCGTCTCTGGGAAGCTGACATCTCCATCCAAGCCCCAGGCTCTTTAGAACAGTGTAAAACTAGATTGGCTAGACTGCATATCTGCAGAAGGAACATGATCCCAGGAAATTATAGCAGTTATTGTTATTATGGAGACAGAACTCTGTGTACCCCTGGTTGGCTTTGGCCTGGCTATGTAGTTAAGGATTTAAATTTTTCTCAAGTGCTAGGAATACACATGCAAACCACCATCCTAGTTGATGCCATTCCTTGACTAGAAATTAGAACCCAGAGCTCCCTGCATGCTAGGCTGCATCCTAAGGCCCCCCAGTACAAAGAGTTACAGTGACACCCTCATGTAATAGTTGTGATACTTACTACATGCCAAAGTCTAATTGCTTTTTCCTGTACTAATTTATCGAATTCCCACTTTGGCCTTATGAGGTTAGGGACTGTTATTGTCCCCATTTTACACCCAAGGAATCCAAGTCCAGAGGAAATCTAACATATTACCTAAGCAAGTCAGGGGCAAAACCACACTTTGATCCCAGAAAGACTGATCTAAGAGTCATCCCCGAATAGCTCTGTCCAATTAGTTCTGCCTCATTACCCTGGTGAGTTATTAACCATGCAGGATTTGTACACACATGTCTAATCTGGGTTTTCTTCCCCACCCCTAAAAAGAGAGGAACAGGCAGAGGTGCCATTCTGGACTCACGAGGGCCTAGAATCAAGACTAGGTTTCTTCTACCCTTCTTCACAACACTACAAAACAAACGAGTCCCCTAATAACATCAGAGAAACCTGCCCTCCCTGCTCTGTGTTTCACAGGAGGAGAGATTGCAGCGTTGGAGCCATGGCTATAAATATCAGAGTTAATGAGGGAGGACTCCTGGAGACCGAAATGTATCCATTTTATGGGTTTGTCATACATCAGGTTAATATGATTCTGACAAATAATTATATTGAAAGCTGGACAGGGGCCTCAAATGTTGCTGTTCCCTTTTGATTGTTACAGGGGAGTCTTCTGGCTAATTAAAAGGTGATGATACTGGCACTGAAATGCAGAGCAAAGCTGTAACGATTTGTGATTTTTAGACAAAGGAGTGCGTGCACATCCCCACCTTGGCATAGACTGTGGACTGTCATTGTCTAATTTCCTTAACAAGCCAAGCAACTCCTTCGTAGGGACGGTTGAGCAGTTACACCTCATGTGGATACCAAGGAGTGGAGACAGAGGTGGAGGAATTGTTTTGTGTCTTTTCTTTCCTTTTAAAAACAGCATGGACTATTTCTCCCCCTCCTAGCATTCCTTGGTTACTTGCAGATCTTTACGTGGGGTTGAGGCCTTGTGGACTTTCTCCTGTCCACCTTGACATGTCTGTTGGTGATGTCCTTGTTCAGCTCATGTTTAGGCAGTCACAGGTGTAGCATCACACTTTACAAGGTCAGTCTTGTAAACATACATACAAGTAACGTTACTCAGACTGAGCATGTTATATTTACAAATATATATATATATATATATGTAACAACAATTATTGAAAACAAACCATGAATTTAAAAGAGAGTAAGGGACAAGAATAGGGGGGAAGGTTTAGAAGAAGGAAATGATGCAATTGTATTATAATCTCAAAAATAAGAGAAAAAGATTTAAAGTAGCATTGTCTTTAAGGGTTTTCATGTGGAAGGACACATATAGGTTGGGTGACTCCCAGAAACAGGTTTTCAGTCAGAACATGTCAGACCATGATGATAGCGCCTTCTCTGGCTTTAAAGATGACTTATTCTCTCTCGGGTTAATTACAGTGGCCTCTGAGAGGAAAAGATGTCTTACTGATGGAAAAAAAAATGACACTCTGAAGCTGTGACATTTGCCATCATGTAATTGGGTTGCCCTGAAATCCTGGAGCTGTGTTGCAGGCTGGAGAGCAGGCTCTTCCAGGGAAAGGCTGCCTAGACAGTGACATCTAACTTCACAGGTCCTTCTTCATGCTCGGGGACTTCTCCTCAGCAGTACAGGTTGCTCACCAAACAAGGACATCACACAGAGGGGACTCGAAGGGTCTAAAATGCAGTCCTACCTCACCTGGGTGGGGTCAGGTCTATTTCTCTGAGTCGGTACTGCTCAGCTCATCCACATGGTCAGACCCATGAAGGAGCATGGGATCCCAGAAGACTTAAAAGAACAGCTTTCCTAGGACTTCCTATGCCGCTCATCCGCTATCTTCTTCCATATTCTCCTGCAGAGCCACACCCATCTCCTCTCAGGCAGCATAAAAGAGGAAAAGGAGACAAACTCATAGTTGCACTAAAAACACTGTCCTTGCCTCCGTTGCTACTGCTTCTTTTCATCAGTAACATCAATTTCTCACTATCCTCCCCTTCTCTGACCATCACCCCTCAATAGATTTCTGGCCATTAACAACTTGAGATGCCCCTTTAAATGTCAGCACATCGGTGTTCTCCCAAGTCAATTCAGTCTAGACCTTGTACAAAATGAAACTTAATGTTCTTGCTCGAATGCTGTTTGCTCACCAATCATCAATCAGCCATCCATTAAACTAAAAGTCCTGATTTCAACAAGGGCTGTTTCTTTTCTTTTCGTGCTCTCTCTCTCTCTCTCTCTCTCTCTCTCTCTCTCTCTCTCTCTCTCTCTCTCTCTCTCTCTCTCTCTCTGTGTGTGTGTGTGTGGGGGTGTATGTGTGTGTATCATCCTTGATTTCTTTTCATCTTATTTTTTGAGACAGTCCCTCCCTGAACCCGAGCTCAACAAGTAAGCCAGATTGGCTGAGCTCAGAAAGCCTCATCTCTGTGATCTGGGTTACAGATGTGCACAACTGGATCTAGCTTTCATATTCCATTAATTCTCTGAGAATTTTGTGTGATTTGGTTTCATCATGTTCACCCTAACTCTTGCCCCAATTCCTTCTAGATCCACCCCCACAACTTCATGTCTTTTCTTTTTTTAATGACCCAGTCTGTGCTGCCCACATTATCCGGGGTGTGGGGTTATCCACTGAAGCATGGCAGATCTACCAGGGCCCACACCATTAAAGGAACCTGATTCTCTCCCAAAATTGTTTATCTGTGCATAGCTCTTCAGTCAGGGGTAAAGGGCTCATGAGCCTGTTCCCACCCCATGCTAAAATACTGACAAGCTTGTTCGTGTGCGGGTGTTGTGCAGACAGATATAAACGCAATGAGCTGATGAGCAGCCCTGTCATGTCCAGAAGCCACCTTCTCTGTGGCCCTCCCCCACCTCTGACTCTTACATCTTTCTGCCCTCTCTTGAGAGGTGGTTCCTGAGGCTCAAAGGATGGGATGATGTAGATGTTCCATTTGTGATGAGCACTTTGTTGACAGCTTCTCTACTTCTATCGGTTGTGAGTTTCTGTGCTAACCACCATCCACTGCACAGAGAAGTGTCTCTGATGAGGCCTGACAGCTGCTTTCGTACATGGGTATAGAGATTCAAATTGAGAGAACAGTTTCCACTCTGTTCAGTTCACTTCTGGGGCCTGTGAGCTCCCCAAACATTGTTTCTTGGACAGCTTTATACTACTAGATATTGGTTTCCTTCTGTAGAGTGGGCCTTTAAACCAATCAGGAAAGTAGTTGGTTAGACCCATGGCATGCATGCCACTACTTCAACCCATGGGCATATCTTGCTATGCCAGTCATTACTACAGTTCACAGGGTTCATAGCTGGGCAAACTGTAGATGACTTTTCCCTCTTGCAGCCTACCCTTAGCACCTTCTGGTACGACGAATGCCAGCCAGCTGGGAGGAGACTTTCTGGTCTTCAGCAGTTTGATTTCTCCATGTCTTGTGACCGACATGTGAAGTATCTTCAACAACAGGGTCTTAGCTATCAAGTTGTGGTGGGTTAAAAAAGAACAGTTGTTCCCAGGCTTTCATGTGAGTTTTTGGGTTTTAACTCAGGTCCTCACAGCTTGTATTATTGAAATTTGATAACTAAGCCACCTCTCCAGTCCCAGCTTTTGCTTTAGAAAGGCCTCTGAAGCTGCTTCATGTTAGGCTGTTTACAGTAGGTGCTACGACTCTTAGAAGCTAGAGCATTACCAGGAGAAAAGACCCCCATTCTTATAGATGCTGCTGTTTCTTCCATCCTAAGCAGTATGTCAGCCTTCACAGGTAACAGCCTGGCCAAGAGATACTTTGTCTGATCCAGAATCCCTCCCCATATCTCCCTGCTATCATTAAGTTCATGCAGAAAGCCCTTGGCTGTGGGAGATCAGAGAGAAAGAAGAAAAAGTCATAACAGAAGTTAGGCGCTTGACCCAGTCAGTGTTTGGAAAAAAAATGCTTTCCTTTAAAACAAACAAACTTTCTTTTTGCATTGTGTGTGTGGTGTTTATGTGGAGGTCAGAGGACAACCTGTGAAAATCGGTTCTCTGCTTCTATCATTGAATTTGGAGTTTGAACTCAGGTCATTAAACTTGGCAGCAAGTGACTTCACCCACAAAGCAATCTCACCAGCCCAGAAACTACTTTTCCTATTACCCCACAATCTCAAGAGAAGATAATGTCTTATATTATCTTAAAGAGCAGATAGACGGAATCAGATGAACTCCTTTGTTCCAGCTAAACCTGCCAGACTCCCCAGCCAACTTTCTGTAACTCATAAAATCATCCCAGTTTCCACTCATCCTCCAAGATCCAAGTGTCGCATGGTTCTGGATAAATGGGCAGGTGGTGCCACGCAACAGGGCCTAAAGGAGCTCTTCCTTCCTTCCTGGACAGAAGGGGAGGATTAACTCAGAATCTTTTCTTCTCTTATGGAATGGCAGCACAGACACCGGGGAGCTCACTGAACTTCATTCCAGGGGAAGCTATGAATGTGCTTGACAGAACAGGTTTACTGTCTCCCTCCAGGCAAAGCTGATCTTCCATGCTGACTATGATCCCATGTATGTCCGGACCACTAGAAGGATGTGAGCAACTGTAGGTGTGTGGAGGTGGGAGAAATTGGAGTGTATGTGGGCTCGAGGGTCAGAGGGCAGTGATGAGAGCATGTAGCAAATGGTACCTGGACAGAGTCCTGCAAGGCAACTCATTTTTAGCTTTGTTTTATTTTAAATATTGAAAGTCAAGAGGGGGTTCCAATGAATTGAATTTAGGAAAGGGAATATAGATTAAACTGGCATAGATTTTCTATGGTCCACAGAGCTTAAATTCCTAGATTAGACTGGATCTCTGTGAACACTAAGAATAACTGGAACTTAGGGAATGTTCTAGGTGAGGAGAGGAGAAAACAGTATAAAGCATTTGTGTGCAGGCACATAGTATCCTCAAAGTCATTGTAGCTGTTCTGTGTCAGGAGAAGCACACACAGCTGCCTGGTCTTCGTATAAGCTAAGAGACGTTCATGTGGCAATTTCTCCAGTGAAGCCATGCCGTGGCATCTGCAGACCCTGAAACACATGCCACCTGGAACTGGATGAGGAACAAAGGCTCTGCAGGCCTGTGTAGTGTGCACAGGTTCCCAGAGGCAGCAATGCCCAGTCAGGGTCAGTGTGGTCATGAGAGACACGGCTAATCCTAAAGTTTGGAACTTTCAATCTCTGAGATGTAATGATGGCTTTGGGCCTTATTAACATGTAAGAGTATACCGTGGAGCCAATGATTATCTGTTGGATGACCCTGAATATGAGGAGACCATCTGTAGCTCTCCCTGCAGGGTACAGTACAAAGAGTCCTGGCTGTGGAATGACATGATCCATCCTAAATTACCCTAAAAACCCATAAACTAATTCCTGAGAAAAACAGCCTGCAGATGCAGAGCCAGTATGATCCTTCCAGAAGAGGGTGGTTTTACTTAGAAGGGATCTACATATAAAACTGCTAAGTTAGAATTTGTAAAATATCTAAGATTTTTTCGCTTGCTAAAAAGTAAGTTAGCTAGTTGCACATTTATGTATGTGTAAACACAGATGCATTTTTTAAATATATGAATACTTGTGCATACATATACAAATATATGCATGCAGTTAACAGGTCTATGTATGTATACACACACCTACGCACAAAATCCATAGGACCTTTGTGTCAGAGGCTAAGCCCATTTATGACTTTTCAGCAGGAACTCTAGACAGAGTAACATCCTCCACTAGGCTCTGCAGTCAGGATAAGGGTACCAGGCATGCAGCTGAAAGCACTATTGGAGATCCCAGTTAATTAAGAAACTCTGATCTTATATAGGCCTTCGAGAGACCT